CTGGAAGTGGCGCTGTAGCTCAAGTGGTAGAGCGCTTGCCTTGAGCTGAAGAGCTGAGGGACAGTGCCCAGGCCCAGAGTTCAAGCCCCACGACCAACCAAAAAAAAAAAAAAAATTACAAAAAGGTAAAGCAGGGCTGGGAAGTTGGCTCAGTGGTAGAGCGCTTGTCTCGCATGAATGAGGCCCTGGGTACTATTCCTCAGCACCACATAAGCAGAAAAAGCCGGAAGTGGCGCTGTGGCTCAAGTGTTAGGACACTAGCCTTGAGCTGACGAGCTGAGGGACAGTGCCCAGGCCCAGAGTTCAGGCCCCACGACCAGCAAAAAAAAAAAGGAAGATAAAGGCAAAGCAGTCTGATGTCATTGCTTTAGCACAGCTGGGTAAAGCCATGGACAGAGATGAAGCCTCAGCCAGACAGGTGTAAGACAGCTGGAATCTGGCTCTTGGACTTCCCAGTCTCTGGAATCCTCTGGTGCAAGTGACTATGAGTGCCGACCCCAGGTGGGACTGCCAAGTTCATCTGGCCACGTGCTGGGAAAGGCGCCTGAAAGCCAACAAGTCCTCCTGAAATACCCGACGTTAGTGGTTAAAGAGTGAGGACCTGAGCGCTGTGCTAGGGAGACAGGAACTAAAGCAATCGCTCCTCCCTTTATGGATGACGCACACCTTTACGCAGAGAATACTGCACATCAGAAGCTACAAAGACGTCACAAGAAGATTATAGCTGAGAGAGGAGAGAAAAATAATATATAGAGGAAGCTAGGTAACAACTCTCCAGCCTTTCAAAATGAAAGAAAAAGGATGAATACAGCCTACTAAGTCTTTGAGCATGCCAGTTATGAACCAGTGTGCTACACCACAGGAGCACGAGAGCCCAGCCTCACACTGGAGGAGGAGGAAAGTGTGGCTAGAAATGAAGAGGAGGAAGACCACGGCAGCACTAGCAAGAACTTGCAGGCAGGAGCCAGATGGCGCAAGCTTGTAACTTACCCTTCGAGAGGCTAAGTCAGGAGGACAGAGTTTGAGGCCAGCCTGGACGCACAAGGAGAGACACTGTCTCAAAATAAAAATGGAAAGGAGGCCAGGCCAGGCCAGGCCATCTCAGGAGCTACATTTAAAGGACTTGTTTCACTATGTCATGTTGCATCTCTACAGAAAAGCCATACAAGATTTTTTTCAATTTCTACATTACACTTATTCTAACAGTTTTATCAAACTGGTATTAGGAAGAAATGGCAAGCATTTACTTTGATACGAAAAGCTTCAAAATATAGGAAAATGGCCAAGAAACTGTATATAGAAATACACTTAATAATGGTATATAATTATTAATGATCTTGAGGGGAAGAGCATTATCAAAATGAACCATGTATACTAGGTGTGGATCTTCAGCTGTTATCTTAGAGCTTTTATCTTTTTTCTAAGAGTACTGGTACTGAAAAACTTAGAACATAAAACATAGTTTATCAACCATTTATGACATCCGAATCTGTAGCAGAATGTTTTAAATATGTGTTGAGTATTTTAAAGCATTTTATAGTTTATAATATGAAATAATATATAAAACTTCATTTGTCCACCAAACAAACTCAGGCTAGCGTCTTTACTACATGTGGATATGTTCCAATCCAGAGGCTCATTTTTTTGTGTTTTTTTTTTTTTTGTTTCTGTGTTGCTTCTGGGGCTTGAACTCCGGGCCTGGGTGCTGTCCCTGAGCTTTTGTGCTCAAAGCCAGCACTCTACCACCTAAAGCATAGCTCCATTTCTAGCTTTTTGGTGGTTCACTGGAGCAAAGAGTCTCACCAATTTTCCTACCCAAGCTGGCTTCAAACCATTAGCCTCAGATCTCCGGCTCCTAAGTAGCTTAGGATTAAAGATCGGAGCCACCCAGTGAGGTTCAGGGCTTGTTGCTTTAAACTGAGAAGTTTCATTGTATATTCAAGATCATGGGCTTGTATGTACCTTCATTTATAAAACATCTGTAACATGACCCTACGTTTTAAAATATTTGGTAGTGCTTTACTGCTTAAGCAAAGGAATGAGTGCAGTGTGCTCTGATCTCTTGAGACAACTGCATGTGGTTGATAACCCAAATTAGAGCATTCAGTCGTGTTTAAAGGCACAGCGCATGGGCATTAGCACACTGGCATCTTGCAACCATCCCACCACCCACCTCCAGAACTTTCTCATCTTCTCAACTGAAGGTGTCCCCACTAAACACTGATTCTTCAGCCCCTGGCACCATCCTACTCTTCGTGGGGTGCCCTGGGGGCCTGAGAGTGGAATGACGCAGTGCTCTTCGTGGGGTGCCCTGGGGACCTGTGAGTGGAATGACGCAGTGCTCTTCATGGGGTGCCCTGGGGGCCTGTGAGTGGAATGTTGTGAGTGGAATGACGCAGTGTTCTTCATGGGGTGCCCTGGGGGCCTGTGAGTGGAATGCTGTGAGTGGAATGATGCAGCACTCTTCGTGGGGTACCCTGGGGGTCTGTGAGTAGAATGATGCAGTGCTCTTCATGGGGTGCTCTGGGGGTCTGTGAGTGGAATGACGCAGTGCCCTGGGGACCTGTGAGTGGAATGCTGTGAGTGGAATGATGCAGCGCTCTCCGTGGGGTGCCCTGGGGGCCTGTGAGTGGAATGATGCAGCGCTCTCCGTGGGGTGCCCTGGGGGCCTGTGAGTGGAATGATGCAGCGCTCTCCGTGGGGTGCCCTGGGGGCCTGTGAGTGGAATGATGCAGCGCTCTCCGTGGGGTGCTCTGGGGGCCTGTGAGTGGAATGATGCAGTGCTCTTCGTGGGGTGCCCTGGGGGCCTGTGAGTGGAATGATGCAGCGCTCTCCGTGGGGTGCCCTGGGGGCCTGTGAGTGGAATGACGCAGCGCTCTTCATGGGGTGCCCTGGGGGCCTGTGAGTGGAATGACGCAGTGCTCTGGGGGTCTGTGAGTGGAATGATGCAGTGCTCTCCGTGGGGTGCCCTGGGGGCCTGTGAGTGGAATGATGCAGTGCTCTTCGTGGGGTGCCCTGGGGGCCTGTGAGTGGAATGATGCAGCACTCTCCGTGGGGTGCTCTGGGGGCCTGTGAGTGGAATGATGCAGCGCTCTCCGTGGGGTGCTCTGGGGGCCTGTGAGTGGAATGATGCAGTGCTCTTCGTGGGGTGCTCTGGGGGCCTGTGAGTGGAATGATGCAGTGCTCTCCGTGGGGTGCCCTGGGGGCCTGTGAGTGGAATGACGCAGTGCTTTGCCCTTTGAGTCTGGCTATCTCCCTAATGCCACCCCCACTGTAGGTTCTGTCAGCATCTCCAACCCCGGTGCACGTCTGTCATGTTGTTCGTGCTTTCAGCCTTTCCCTCCTCATTTGGCTGCTTTCCTTGCTGTGCCTACCCCACAAGTGAGACTGTGGATCCTATCTTCAAGTCTACGGGACCTCACCCTGACCCCACTGCAGGCCCGCCAGCTCACAGCTCCGGGAGCAACGTGCACGATGCCACCTTTCCGCGCTTGTCTGTGTGACACGGCCGTCCTCGCCTGTGAGGCAGCAGCTTTTTGTAGTTTGGGTTTGTGTTCCCTAACAACCAGCGAAGAATATCTTCTGGTATGTTTCCTGATCATTTGCTCATCTTCTTTGGAAAAGTGTTTAAGCCATTTTATAAAGTAGGCTGTTCATTTTCCAGTGGGTGTATAAAGGAGCATCTTACACATTCTGGATATAAATGCTCTGTCAGTGTATGACTTGTAAACATTTTTCATAATTCTCCCACTCTCTTTTCATTTGTTTCAGGTTTTGGGGTTTTGTTTGTTTTTGGGGGGCCAGTTGTGGGGCTTGAACTCTGGGCCTGGGTGCTGTCCCTGAGCTTTTCAAGTTCAAGGCAAGAGCTTTACCACTCAAGCCACAGCTCCACTTCTGGTTTTCTGGTGGTTAACTGGAGATAAGAGTCTCACAGATGTTACTGCCTTGGACTGGCTTTGAACCACGATCTCAGATCTCAGCCTCCTGAGTAGCTAGGATTATAGGCATGAGCCACCAGAGCCTGGATGTTTGTTTGCCTTTAAGACAGGGTTTCACCATATGACAGAAGCTGGCCTAGAACTTGCAATCCTCCTGCTTCAGCTTCCCAAATGCCAGGATTATTACAAGCATGGACAACCATTCCACACCAGTAGTTTTCCCATAGTTTGTAGACATTTTTATTAAGAAATTAAAACACATACCTAAGTTCTGCCGAAATTCAGACTTAAGTCCAATTTGAAGCAGCTGGTTTTCAAACAACACACCATTATTTTTACAAACAAACCTAGGAGAAAAGGACAGAATGTATGTCACTCAAATTGCCCATTTGAAATACAAGGATTTGTTTTGGAAAACAGTTTAAAGTACATGAGATCTTAGCTGGAGACATAGCTCTAGCAGTAGAGCTCCTGCCCTAGCAAACACAAGGCCCTGAATTCAAACCCCACTGTTGCCAACAACGTAAAAAATAAAGGAGAAAATACCCAAGACCAGAACACCTCTGTGGCTGGAAGACAGGAGAGAACAAAGAAACAGCGAGATCTCACTGAGAGGGACACAGAGACTGAGTGGCGGCAGCAGGACTCCTCGGCAGCAGCCCCCAGGAGAGGGAGATGTCACTCATCATGACAGAGGCAAGGCCAGGGTGAGGAGGCTGGCAGCAGAGGGTGCACCTGTGGCCCATGCTGTGCCTGAGAAACAGTCCCCCATGGCAGACGCCTGGAAGTTTCCACCTGCACCTGCACCTGCACAGACTCCATGATCAAGTTACTCTCTTCCAGAGACCACAGCAGCAGCAGACTTCCCTGGGTCTGCAAACCTGAGACATGCAGTCAGAATGTTGTATGGGGCCTCAGCAAGGGCCTCAGGGGCTCAGCTGGTCCCACTCAACCTGCTGTGCCCACAGGAAGCAGAGGCAGCAGCCCTCCCCCCACACACACACACACAAACACATGACTATAACTCAGCAGGTGTCTACGCAGCTCTGGCCACAGTAAGAAGTCTCAAGCCAAGTACTGCCTATTCAACTGCAGCCCAACCTTCACAACACTGCTGAGAGTATATGCAAGCACATGTAGTCGGGAGTTGCTCACAACAGCTGTCCTGCAGCTGGGAGCAGCGGCAACCAATCTGCTGCCTGAGGGAGAGCAGGGGCGGCTCCTCCATGCCCATTCAAGGTGCTAGAGCCAACACCATCCACGGGCCCACATACTTGGTTCTAGACAAAGTCACCTTAAACTCAAGAATGCCAAACTGTCACCCACAAGACTGCAGAGAAGCCCCTGGTGCCCTCATCTGTTTGCTGGTTGCTTTCCAAAGGGTCTGCACCTTGACCTTGCAAGGTAGGGACAAAGAGAATCCATGTTAGAATGGTACAAAGTTCAGCCTCCTGCAGGCACGCTGTGCCCCGCAACCCACTCCTGTTCCATCCTGTGCCACAGGCCAAACAATGACCTTAGGGGTCCCCAGGCAAAGCTACAATAAACACCAGCACAGGCTGCAGTCCCAAAGAACTAGGCCTAGTGCCCCAACAGCCAGGTTAACAGGAGTAGGGCCAGCCAGGGTACCAGACCTACAGAGTGGCCTCTGGAGACCTGGGGGGGGGGGGGGGCGGCGGCGGCAGCAGAAGCCTCAGGCCACCGACAACACCACCCACTCGCTCTCCTCCACCACCCTGCTCCCAACAGAACAGCAGCTGCTCTGGGTCACCTGGGATACTACAAACGCTACCGTGTGAGCCCAGTTAACCAGCAACTGGCAGCCCTCAGCCCACCACAAGCAGCTTCTCAAAACCCCGACAGTGAGATAACACCACAGCAAGGCCAAGACCACTCACTGGAGCCCTCAGTCACCATGCAGCCCTCAGCCAAGACAGGAGAGTTAGAGGCTTCCCCTCCCCAGCCCAGCCGGGAGGTGGCTTCCCCAGCCCAGCCCAGCCCAGCCAGGTGGCTCCCCAGCCCAGCCCAGCCCAGCCCAGGTCAGAACAGGCAGTGGCTTCCCCCTTAGCAGCTATGGACCTGGGTTTTCTGTGGTGCCTTCAAATCCCAAACTCAGCAGTTCTAAAGTGCTAAGAATCTGTTTTTCAGCCAGAGAAGCAACTTTTACCAAGACCACATTCTAAACCCATCTTCCCTAAAAGAAATCAGTGTGCAAAATGAACACAAGGAAATAAAAATATCTAAAACAACAAGTCCCACTAACATCTCCAAGAGAAAGGACCAAGGACCACTGCGGAAGCTCCCTCATCTATACTCAGGACAGAACCCAGGCCACCACTGTGAAGGTGCAGGAGCTTCGCATCACCTGCACACTGACACAGCAGAACCAAGACAGTACCGAGGGAATCTGCTGCAGCAAAAGGAAAGAGCAGGTGCTGGGAGAGAAGTCTGACAGCTCCCTTTTGAAAACGGGAGACGGCGGGGAGGAAGGAACTGAACAAGGGGCGTACACAGGAATCCAGGCACAGACACCTTAGAGTCAGGAGGACAGAGCCAGCGGCAGGACCCTCTGAGCTTGGCCAGCAGGAACTGGGCAGGAAGTCATCGGCAGAGTCCAATGGAATAGCTCCTCCAAACAACTAATGGACTGCTTAACAAAAGAGGCACGGGTGGGCAGGGCCTGGGAGGTGGGGGGACACCAATGGAGCAGGAAAGGTGCACAAATGCAGTCACATATTCAATATACATATGTAAAAACTGAACTAAGCCACTTGAGGATAAGGACGGGAAAGGAGAGCTGGGGGAGGACCATCAAAGTCGTGGCACAGATCAACCCTTTCACAACCCTTATATCATCATCATCATCACAGCATGTATCTAGAAGGCAAACACAGGCACAGTGAAGACTTCAAAACACCAGACGAGTGGACAGCAGAAAGGAAAAGAAAAAGCGTCAGAATCATTGATGAAGCACCCTAACAACAAGGAACAAAGGAGACAACATAATTACATCCTCAGGTACAAGCAAGGCAGACCACGTGGTCTACCATCCCACACAGCACCCAACACCAACCACCTCCATCAAGCAGTGACCAGACCCAGCTCTGCACAGCTGACCCTGGCCAGTCTTTGGGACCGAGGGAACCTGGCTACCTGGCAAAGTTGTCTTCTGAGCCTGGAGCAAGTGGTGCGACCGCAGAAGCTGAGTCTGAAAACACGTCCACCAGCAGCCCGCCACCACCAGCGGAGGCAGGGGGCACGGCAGGAGCCGGGGGAGCGGCCCCCAGACCCAGCAAGTCTGCCGACGGAGAAGGCGTGGACTGGAAAAGAAGGAAGGAGAGGGTCAGCCGTGCATCTGGAACATGAGCAAACGCCTCTGAGCCCACCCCTCCCCCACATCCACTCGAGGACCAGTGAGCAGCAGCACGTGAGGCAGACAGCCTCTGGTCAGATGCAAACACACCTCAACTCAAGAGTCACGCTGAGATAATCACAAGATTCACAATTCAATCTCAACTTCACACCACTAGCAAACAGCCTGTATTTTTCCACAAATATCTGAATAAGAAAAATCTGAAAATATATTCGCCATCAATGAAAATCAAACTCTAGTCCCGGAGAAGTCTGTAAGATAAAATAACCAGCAAAAGAAAAACCAGGCTAGAGGCATGGCTCAAGTGGCAGAGCACCAACCGAGCAGGCAAGCCCAGCAAGCGCAAGGCCCTACGTTCAAACAGTAGTACCTCTAACAAAAGGTTAAGAAGCCCATGCTGCCAGGTGTGATAACACAGACCCATAACCTAGCTACTGGAGAAGCAGAGATCAGGACTGCAGCTGAAGACCAGAGGCAGAGGGAGAGGCCCGCTCAACAAACAAGTGGGGCATGGTGGTACAGGGCTGAACTCCCAGCAAGGCAGCAAAGGTAAGAGGACAGCAGTCCACGGCTGGCTCCAGGCAGAAGCACAAAACCCTGTTCAAAAAGACAACTAAAATAAAAAAGGGTTGGGTGTATGGCTCAGGTGGGAGGCCTTGAGTTCCAAGAGAGGGGCAGGGGTGGTGGCAAGAAAGCCATAATACTGTCAAGTGTCCAAAAGATAAACTAAATGAAGGTGACATCCTTAGTGCAATCACCATCTTAGTTATTAAAAGAAAACTTTTATGAATTTTCAGACCTGGGCAAAAACGTAAGCGCCACTGAGGCCTCTACAGCATCGCACAGGATGAAGATGCCGCGCGGCTGAGCTCACACCTCTACTGCTGAGCTGAGCTCACACCTCTACTGCTGAGCTGGCCTCACACCTCTACTGCTGAGCTGGCCTCACACCTCTACTGCTGAGCTGAGCTCACACCTCTACTGCTGAGCTGAGCTCACACCTCTACTGCTGAGCCAGCACAGTGGCTGGCCTCACACCTCTACTGCTGAGCTGGCCTCACACCTCTACTGCTGAGCTGGCCTCACACCTCTACTGCTGAGCTGAGCTCACACCTCTACTGCTGAGCTGAGCTCACACCTCTACTGCTGAGCCAGCACAGTGGCTGGCCTCACACCTCTACTGCTGAGCCGAGCTCACACCTCTACTGCTGAGCCGAGCTCACACCTCTACTGCTGAGCCGAGCTCACACCTCTTCACACCTCTACTGTTGAGCCAGCACAGTGGCTGGCCTCACACCTCTACTGCTGAGCCGAGCTCCCACCTCTACTGCTGAGCCGAGCTCACACCTCTACTGCTGACTACTGCTGAGCTGGCCTCACACCTCTACTGCTGACTCGGCCTCACACCTCTACTGCTGAGCTGAGCTCACACCTCTACTGCTGAGCTGGCCTCACACCTCTACTGCTGAGCTGAGCTCACACCTCTACTGCTGAGCTGAGCTCACACCTCTACTGCTGACTCGGCCTCACACCTCTACTGCTGAGCTGACCTCACACCTCTACTGCTGAGGTGGCCACTGGGGCCGGAGCCCGGGCTCAGAGCTCGGCTCTGCTCAGCCAGCACAGTGGGGCCCAGAGCCCAGGCTCACCACAAAGCTGAAGGCAAGCACCCTCACACGGTCCACAAAGACTACTCACAGTTCGTGAGCAAAGCCCAGACATAAGAGACATCCTGCCTTGAGCAACTTCCAAAAATACTCCTGGACATCAGCAGAACAAGAAACAGAGCTTTCTGAACCTAAATCCTAAGGCTCTTTTACATTAAGACAATGTGTGTTTTGCTCAATCTGAACTGATCTTTCCAAGAATCCAACTCTCCCCTTCCCCGTGGACACGGCAAGCCACAGGGCCTGCGCGTGGGGCCAGGCCTCCCACCTCTGCCAGCAGAGCGTGCTGAGCACATGGGGACAGGAATGTCAGCACAGACAGCCACACCCCCCTTGGTACTGTGTTCTGTACAAGTACACGTGACAGCATGTGATGTCACGTCAAGATACATGAGGCACTCCAGAGCATCTACTGTGCAGGGGTGGGGGTGGGGAGACTGAGAGCCCTCAGGTCTTCAAGGCCCATGGCAGGTGAGGCAAACCTGGCAGGACACAGCTGTAGTGTCCTGAAAGGGGCCTGAGAAAGCCAAGGACAGGCTGGACTCCTGGACCCCTGTGTACTGCACACTTCCCTCCAAGGAGCCGTGACTCAAGAAAAAGGGAGCGAGCCTCACAAGAGTGTGTGGCACCTGTGGCCACCTGCAGTGACAGCCAGATGCGAGGCTCCAGGAGCTCAGCAGCCGAAGACCCAGGGCGGCCAGAGTTGGGATTACCCAACAGCTGCAGCAAGGGGAGACACATTCCCCACCTACTCAGACGACCGACACCAGCTCCTGGAAAGTCTTCAAATGGCTTTTGTCCTATTAAGCCAGATACACAAACTGCAGTTACACAAGCCACAGAAGCAAGGCCCTGGCTGGAGAAGCCATTAGGCCTCCCTGGGTTTGGGGAGACCTTCCCACAGCACACCCTTGTGTGACTGAACACTCAAGCTACGCATCGCCCTCCAACAGGAACAATGGCAAGAAGTAAATTAAAAGCTTCTTGTACACAAGCTCAGGTCAGGCCAGCCTCTGAGAGCCGGCTGGCCACCAGGGAAATGGGCAGTTACCAGGTAAGCCTACAGCCTGGGGACCACAGGCAACTGTGCCACAGGCCCCTCCCGAGCTCACCCACCAGGAGAGACCTGTGCAAAGAAAACAACAAGTGGTCTAGTGTCTACTATCACCCTGTTCTTAAATACAAGAGTTTGGCCAATGTCATTCCAGACAGACAGACAGTCGTGAAGCCCAGACACTTGATGCTACTGGGAGCAGCCCCGCTCCTTCTTCCCCACCCCCCTGGAGGCGGTCTCCCTCTGGACCCGGTCTGGCCTCTCTGACACCCTAGTTTTCAGGAAGATGGGACTCCAGACACTGGCAGTGCTCAACATCCACCTGCCAGGCCCCGTGCAGTCAGGAAGGACGTGCACAGCCTACAGGTGGGAAAACTGCTGAACTGACCCTGGGAAGGCATCAAGAACCGGTCTTATCTAGATGCTGTTCCCAGGGGCAGCCCTCATCACATCCTGAGAGCCTGCTGAGCCTCAATGCCGGTGTGTCAGCCTGTCCCTGCTTGTAGAAAGCTGAGCCCCGGACATGGCGGTCATACTGTACCGTTCCTGGCCAATGTGGAAGTGCAAAACCCAGTACGAGCCAGACAGAGACCAAGGACAACAGTTACAGTGGCTCCCAAGGACCCTGTCTGTGCTTCAAGGAAGCACAGGAATGCCCAGCACCGTAAGGAAACACATCATGGTTCCCAAAGCACTTCCTAGTAACCTGCCGTTGCTACCAGCCAGCCTCCTGCCTACACAGCTTGTTAGACATCAGCTCATTTGCCTACACCTGTGGCCTCAGCTAGACCCAGCTGCTGCCCATTCCCTGGCACGGGCTCTAAAAGATGAGCCACAGCCCCACCCGCCCCCACCAGTGGGAAGCCTAAGCTAGCACAGCACAAACACCCACACGTGCACTCTCTCCAGAAGCCCGTGCCACCTCACCCGTCCACCCCAGCTACAGCCCTCCAGGGCTTGGGCTGGTGACTTCTTCACTGGAGTGTCAGTCACCTGGAAGAGCAGGAGGCGGGACAGGAAGCCCATATCTGGTGCCTGGTACCAGTCCCGAGGGACAAGTGCACAGATAAAGGGTCCCAGCTCTACAGAGGAAGCGCCAGCAGAGGCTGAGCATAACCCATGAACTACTTGTGCACCAAGAGAAAGACCACACCTGGACAGAAAACACACACTTCTCACTGACCCCAAATTAACTAGTCATTAAATTTAAGCGGTCATAAGTCACCACAAAGGCAGAAGAAGGCAGAGTGGTGCAGCAGGAAAGTCTTGAGGAAGGAAGTGCAGGACCGGAAGGGGCACAGTTGCTAACAAACCTGAGCTGAGGGAAAAAAGGACAGAAGCTACCTGAGGAGACTTCAGGCCAGCGTGACTATGAGGGGTGGGGGAGTCTCATTTGTAGATTGCAGGAGTTCTTCACCAAGCAGTCAAAAACAATCCAGTAAAACAAAAGCTTGTAAGTTCCTACACATGTATGCAGCTCAGGTGATACAGCTAAGTACAATCAATCCCATATTGTCATCAGTTGTGTTGAAACTGTATGATCTGCTGAGTGTTTCCCAGCCTTAATTCTGGGAAAACATACTTCCTAAAAAGCAAATCGTGCCCAAAAAAGCAGGGCAAAAGGTAATGTGTTTAACTGAAGGGATAAAGTGAACACATTACATTGTTGAAAAGCAAAACATCTTTCAGTAGATGCTGAGCAGCACCGTGGGGAAAAAAAGAACACACACCCACAGTGCACCACCGAACTCTCCATCTGTACATACTGTTTTTCTACAGCAGTGGGAACTGTACCCCAGCAGACACCCAAAGTCGATGACAGGACTCACCACAGGCCAGCACTCCCGGCCTGAGGGCCGAGCCACCGGCAGACAGCTCACAAGGAGGCCCCAGGGAGGGACAGCAGGGCTCAGACATAAACATACTCTTGGCAAGCAAGCCACCAAGACGTAGCCTATCACCTGTCCCTATCACCGCAGCAGCATGGCTGCGGAGGCAAAGCTCCCGAGCATTTCCCCCTCCCTTTTTTTTTTCTTTACTTGTGCCAGTAGCAGGGCTTAAACACTAGGCATTGTGCTCTCAATCGGATTTTTACTCACAGATGGCAATCTACCACTTGAGACACATCTCTTCTTCTGCCCTTTTGTTGACTAATTGGAGATAAGGCTCTTGGACTTTTCTGCTTGGGATGGCTTTCAACCTCAGTTCTCAGATCTCAGCACAGGCATGAGCCACTGGTGCCCGGCTCCCCACAGCCCCCACTCTCCTAGGGAGCAGAGAGCCGTTCATAGGACATAGCCGCTACGAAAAGCAACAATGCCATGGCAGCAAATACTGCGTCTCAGAAAACACAAACGCAGCCCTCAAAACAGTATTTTCTATCCACTAAACACCAAAGGTCCCATTTTCATCTATGTGAATAATCTCATCACGTCACACAAAGGAGAAATTTGTTCTACTCCAACTCACTACAGAAACCCTCCAAGATTTAGCAAGGCCAAGTCCATTCTAAAGCAACAAGGAGCACTCAAGAAACAAATGGTACAGCCTCCAAACCAATCACCACAGACAGAATCGGGCTGGGCTGGCCTCGAGAAGCTGGTGTCACAAAGACGCAATCAGCCGCCCACAGCCTCCTGAGACAAGAGGCCTAGGAAGGCCTGGGTGCGGGAGCGCAGACCCTAGGAAGAGGCAGACACCAAACTCCTGACTCGTGCCGAGTAAACAAAACTTCTCTCCAACTGGACATGCTTTGCAATCACCAGCTCAGAGCGTGGGAACTGGTGGAGCTGGGGGCCCGGTAGCAAGGACCCACCACAGCACTGGTACTGGCCGGGGCGGGCTCGGGGCCCCCGTTCACATCGATGCTCCGGTCCCGCTTGGTCTCTTCCAGGTCAGTCACCGTGCTTGGGCCCTTCTTCTTCTTGAGCTTGGCCAGGATGGAGGACTCACGCTCCGGGAAGGGAGGCATTTCCTCCAGGACAGTTGCCTATTGCAAAGAACAAAAGGTCAGAGCTGGACCAAGCCCCAGTGCCCATCACCGACCTAGAGGCTGCAGTGCCAACAAGCCCAGCCAGGCGGTTCACACCAGAATATCAGTGCTGGCCACAGTGCTCAGCCGCAGGTACTCCACGGCCCGCTGCTGCAGCTCCACATCTGCATTCTTCAGCTGGCTGTCACTGCGCAGCACATCCTGGATGGTGGCCTTCACTTCCGGAAAAAGGTTCACGAACTTGATGTAGGTAGACAGCAGGAGTGCCCGGGTAGGGACGCTGCACAGGTGGAACTTGGAGTGAAGCAGGTTGAACTGGATCAGAGGACTTGGGGGGGACAGAGAGCACAGGTGAGGACCGGTTACCTCACCCTCCTGCACCCTGCAGCCTAGCACCCACAGAAGCTCCCCATGGGCACACGTCCATCTGTCTGACGCCAGATGCCAGCTGGGGTGGGGACAGGACAGCCAGTGCAGAGTGCCCTGCGCTGCTTCCTCATATCTCTTACCTAGAGCGTGGGTCCCCAGCTATCAAGTTTCCAAACTCGCCCAGGATGTAGCCGCCTACTTTGACCAGGTTCTCGTGGCATGCTGGAGCCTGCAGAGCCTGGAAAACCATGGATACCATGAGCCAGGGCCCGGAGAAGCACTGCAGCAAAGGATCTAGAGACGGGCTCGGCGTAATGATGAGCCAAAGCCAGGCCTGCATGGCCTACGTGGGGGCTTCTCCGGAGCTCAAGACTACTAAGTGCCCCTCGTGCCCGAGCCCCTCCGCAGAGCAGCCCGAGCAAGGTCAGCAGCGGCTCCCCAAAGGCTCCCTGGGAACAGCCAGACCCCTTCCCATCCCCTCACACACAGGCAGATTCAAGGGCAGCCCCAGGCAGCGATTTCAGGAAGCTCTTCAAGAGCCGGTGTCTCACCCAGGATGCAGTTTGGAAATTAGGGCGAGAGGAAAGTGGTGGTGGATGTGGGGCAGTGGAAGGAAAGGATTCCAAAGAACAGCTGAGGGGACCAGCGGAGACTCCCACGTTCACCTGAGCTTGGCACAGGGCCGGAGAGGACACCCACCCTCCTGCGCTGGAGACCCAGGCTGTACCTCAAACACTGTCTTGGCGGCATAGCCCTGCACATCGTCACGATTGATGACAATCTGAATCACGCGATACCACACCTCTTCGCTCACGTAGTCTCCAGCAATGCGAATCAGGTTCAGGATGGTGTCCACATACCAGGTGTAGTCCACGGCGTATTTCTCAGCCAAGATGGCGACTTTCAGCACCTATAGGGTGGACAGGCTGGTCAAGGCAGGTGCCACACAAGCTATCAGCAACACCAAGGACCAGCCAGCGTCAAAGACCATGAGAGGCTTCAAAAGGACCTAAAACTTGAGGTGTGTGAGAAGATTCACCAGATCTCAGAGGGTGGGGAGTGGCCGGCTTGAACAAAGGAAGCCAGTGGACCTCCAAGGACAGATGCAATGACCAAGCCCGGGGTTCGAAAGGCTGCACAGCTACATCCAGGCCGCCACTCTGCTCCTCACGACCACCCCACTGAAGTCCGTCCTGCACCGCGTCCCCCAGCCACAACCAGCCGCTGCCAGCCACAGCCAGAGCTCCTTTTCCCTAGCAGGTCTTCTTCATCGTCCACCCTCCTCAGCCCCACAGGTCCCCCTTTTCTTCATGGGAAACCCACCTGATCACCACCCTATCCTGCCCCCAAAGAGCCACCAGGCTTATACCCACAGAGACAGCTACTGCTAGGCAGCTCTGCCCCACCTCCACACTGGGCTCAACTCCAGGTCTCCTTCTGGCACTGCCCAAGAGTGTCCGCTGGCACCACCACATGCTCCTCAAGTAGCTGACTGTCACACACAACCCTGCCACTCTCCCTGCTATCCTCTCCCAGGCACTCCAGGCAGAATGGGCTCCCAGAGCCCCAGCCTAGAGCCTGGACTGGATGTCTACTTGCTCTACCACCTCTCGCCCTTACACGGACCCCATGACACCCTTAGAACATCTTCAAAACACATGGCCTAGGCTGGGAAAGCAGATCAGTGATGAAGCATTTGCCTAGCATGCCTAAGGTCCTTGTTCCATCCCTACCTCCTAGTATCTAGAAAAAGCTAGAACTGCTGGACTTGCAGCCCAACGCTGACCATGCAGCCATTTGCTCAGCCACAATCCCAGCTACTCTCAGCCCCGGGACGGGAGCTCCCATAAGGTGGGAGCTCAGGAAGTCTGTGAGGCCCCAGAACATGGGGTCAGCCTCCGCAGGTGTCACCCCGTGCACATGCAGACCAGTGTTCAGCCCTCCATCTGCCTCCCAGGGCGGAGGCTCCCCGCAGGCCCCAAAGCAGCACTTGTGCAGAGACAGAGGGACACGTGACTAAGGCTAGCAGGACCGTCACTCACCACACAAAAAGACACTGAGTGGATTCCAGTCCTCCACACACAGACGTGCTGACCGTGCTCCGCTGTGTGCTGGGCACACCCAGAGCAGCATGACTGCAGGCCCTAGGCCAGCCCTACCCAACTTGGGCCACACTGCCCAGGCTGAATCCGAAGCAGACCTTGGAGGAAGCTGGTGAGTCACTTAGTGACACCCAGACATGGCCCACCAGCCCTCCTCTACACAGAACACTCCCTCCCCACATCATCTCCTGCAGCTGGGTCTGGAACCTCCCCAGGTCCTAAGCAATGGAGGCCTGCTCTCCAGGGCAGAAGATGCCAAGGTCACTTGGCATGTCCTTGAGAGGGCTGTAGGGCCACGGCCTGCCATCTCTTCCTCTGCCTATCCATGATGTGAATTTTAACCCACCACACACTCCCCACACAACAGAGAAAGGATGAGCACATGCAGTCATTGTATTCAGTGTACCTTATGTAAAAAACTGAACTATGTATCTTGATAGTAGAGAGGGGAAGGGAAAATGGATGTGAACAATGGAAGATGCATTGTACTCATAACCTGACTTATGAAACTGTAACCTCTCTATACAACTGCTTAATAAAAAAATAGCGTAACAATTCTTGTCTACTACATCCTCATTCAGACCCCAGCAGCCAGATACTGAGAGGAGGAGAGGGGGAAGCCTGCTCGTGGGCGTCACATGTTCCAGCACTGAGAGGGAAATTGATGCAGAAAGGAACCTCTCATCAGTCCACTATAGACACCGGGAGGGCCGCCCAGACAGAACTGCCGAACACTGCTGAGACAGTCCCGCTGGCCTTTCATCCACAGCAGGCAAGGATTGGGGCTGAGAACTCACAATCTCCTCTCGGATGGAGTAGTCAGCCGTCTCCAGGTAGCTCAGCATCTCCGCCACAATCTGCTGGGCGTTGCTGCGGTCACACATGGCATAGAGCAGGTCCACGGCTCGCTGCCGCACACTCACATCCCGCTCCGTCTGGGAAGCAAAGCAGACCGTTAACCCCACACACAAGTACAGGCTGGAGGCACTCGCAGTCTAGAACAGTATGTGGCCCCCGTGGCCCCGCTTTCCCCAGTCCTGTCAGGCGGCCCCTCCTCTGCCCCACACCCACGTTAACCCCACATACAAGTACAGGCTGGAGGCACTCGCTGTCTAGAACAGTATGTGGCCCCCGTGGCCCCGCTTTCCTCAGCCCTGTGGGCAGCCCCTCCTCTGCCCCACACCACGCAGGGAGGGCCTCACTCACCATCTGTACCAGGGCCCAACACTGGCAGGTCAGAAGCCCTCTCCCTTGACTCACACCCCCTCTGCTCTCTGTACTTGGAACAAATGGTCTGGGCAACCTAGATTCACTGCCACTGTCCCACTGGCCAGCTTCTCTGAGGAATGTGCTCAGGGCCAAGTGGGTGGGTCACTGAAGTCTCTCTATTGTGTGGTCATAGTCTAGCACCTTCCGAATTATGTCACCAAGGAACTCCATACAAGGCGGGTCTTTGGACCCCACCCCAGTGGCATCAGAATAAGACCCTAGAAAAGCTTCACAGCACAGCAACACCTGAGAGCACAGGAAAGGTCCAGGCACCTAGCAGTGGTAGAAAATGGGGGGCCCGGTACAGGATAGAGGGCCTCCAGCAAGGGCCGGAGCAGAGTGAGACAAGGGTTGTCTCTGACACAGGGAAGAACTAGAAGACACACAATCAGGACCAGGAAGAACTTGGCCTCAAATTCACAGCAAACACTGAATGTAAGTTCCATGCCACACTCGGCGTCCCCAGACACTGCTCAAGACTAGGCCGAGTCAAGGGCTCTAGGTTCCCTCCTTACACACTTGTGCTAACAAGCAAAGCAAGAATGGGCAGATAGTGTGTGACACTAGCAAGATCACCTTGAGTGAGATTCACAGGTAAGCCCTGGAACACATACCTTGACTAGGCTCTTTCAACTCTGTAATTTTTTTTTCTTTTTTTGCCAGTCTTGGGACTTGAACTCAAGGCCTGGGCACATCCCTGAGCTTCTTTTTGCTCAAGGCCACAACCTGAGCCACAGTGCCACTTAGGGCTAAAGAGTGTCACAGACATTCCTGCCCCATCTGGCTTCAAACCTCAGATCTCAGCCTCCTGAGTAGCTAGGACTACAAGTGGGAGCCAACTTCACCCACCACAATTCTGGAATTGTAATCTTTGAAAAAAATATGAGGGGCTGGGAAGGTGGCTCAGTGGTAGAGCGCTTGCCTTGCATGCATGAGGCCCTGGGTTCAATTCCTCAGCACCATATAAGCAAAAAGAAAAAAGCCAGAAGTAGCGCTGTGGCTCAAGTGGTAGAGTGCTAGCCTTGAGCTGAAGAGCTGAGGGACAGCACCCAGGCCCAGAGTTCAGGACCCACAACCGGACCCAAAACTAAAAATCTGAGAAATACCAGGTGCCAGTGGCTCACACCTATAATCGTAACTACTCAGGAAGCTGAGATCTGAGGATCACGGTTCAAAGCCAGACCGAGCAGGAAAGCCTTTAAGACACTTATCTCCAATAAACCAGAAAACCAGAAGTGGCACTATGGCTTCAGTGGTAGAGTGCTCGCCCTGGGCTGAAGAACTGCGGGACAGCACCCAGGCCCAGTTCAAGACCCACGACTGACCAAAAAAAAATTTGAGAAGCAGCCAGGTGCTGCTGGCTGGCACCTGTAATCCTATCTACTCTGGAGGCCGAGATCTGAGGACCCTGGTTGGAAGCCAGATGGGACAGCAAAGTCATGAGACCCTTATCTCCAATTAACCACTCAAAAGCCAGAAGTGGTGCTGTGGCTCAAAGTGGTAAAGTACTGCTCTTGAGCAAAGGATCTCAGAGACAGCACCCAAGCCCTGAGTTCAAGCCCCAGGACTAACAAAAGAAGAAAAAAAACTGAGAAGCTAGGCACAATAGCTCTACCTGTAATCCTAGATATTTAGACAGCAGAGGCTGAAGTTGCGGTGAAAGGCTAGCCTGTGTAAAGAATACTAGAGAGGCTGTCTTAACCAGTGTCTTGGCACAGTGCGTATGCCTGTCATCTTAAGCTATGGGGAAAGCACAAGTAGGATGTTTGCAGTCCCAACCAGCCCAGGTATAAAGTGAGACCTGTTTAACCCCTCTGTACATCAGCTTTACAATAAAAATAAATTTTAAAAAAGGTAGGGCTGAGAAGGTGGCTCAGTGGTAGAGCGCTTGCCTTGCATACATGAGGCCCTGGGTTCGATTCCTCAGCACCACATAAGCAAAAAGAAAAAAGAAAGCCAGAAGTGGCGCTGTGGCTTAAGTGGTAGAGCGCTAGCTAGCCTTGAGCTGAAGAGCTGAGGGACAGCGCCCAGGCCCAGAGTTCAGGTCCCACAACCGGACCCCCAAAAAAGAAAAAGTAACCAATGCAGAAGGGGTGGTAGAGTCCCTCATGTGGCAGAGTGACTGCCTAGCAAGCACCAGGTACTGGAAAAATAAGCCTAGGGGCGTGGTTCAAGAGGTAGAAGACCTGCCTAGAAAGCATGAAGCCCTGAGTTCAAACCCCTCACTACCAAAAATAAAAAAAAAATTTTTTTGGATCGGTCGTGAGGCTTGAACTCTGGGCCTGGGCTCTGTCAGCTCTTCAGCTCAAAGCTAATGCTCCACTTGAGCCACAGTGCCCCTTCCAAAATAAAAAATTCTTGACAGTCAATTTTGCTTTACAAAGCGTGAGGTTTCCTGGAAGTAATAAATATTTCATCTTTCTACCAAAACCAGAACTTTACTGAAGAGTGCCACATGAGGCTGACACATAATGACATGCTCGGCCCCAAGGCCAGGACTGACTGGGGGGGGGGCAGGGTTGGTTACTGGGGTCTTACTGCAAGAACCAAGCAACGCGGCCTCGAGTGACACTAATCCACCCTCACTCCCAAAGGGGACCAGAGCCGGGCCATCTGCCGAGAGACAGGAGGCACCACGCTAATCTAGTGCTGGCGCACCTTGAGGGCGTTGATGACAGTCTCGATGTGGGTCTTGACAGCCTCGTGGGAGAACTCAGAGCTGGCCAGCGTGCACATGCTCTCCAGGGCCAGGTAGCGCAGGTTGGTCTCCCGGTGCTGAAGAAACTGGCCCAGCTGGTTGCAGGCGCGGACAAGCAGGTTTGGCTCACTACAAGATGAGGGGGACATGGTAAAAAGGGTCACGGTGAGGAGCCACGTGCTGAGGAGGGGGCACCTTGCACCTCTCTGCTGGAGATGGACACACCCATGTCCACAGCCCCAGAAGACCGCAAGCTCCATTCTAAGCAAAGCCAACAGTTCACACGAGCCCTGGCTCCCTCTGTGTAGGCAGACAAGAGAAATCACCCAGTAACAAGGAGGCTGGAGGCTGGAGGAGGTGCTAT